CCTTGCCGCTTTTATCGGTCAGGCTAATGTTTAAGGTTTCACTGGCCAGGTCGTCCAGCACATATTTAAGCTTCAGCACACCCACGGCATAGTAAGCTGTATTGTTCTGTTCATTGCGGATATCTACGTAATAACTTTCCCTGGGCAGGGCATTCATCACACTATCCTCCACAATCGTAAACCGCCAGGGCGCAGCCCCACCCAGCAGGATCCCCTTGTAATAAGCATCCACCGTCCAGGCATAGGGCTGGTTCAATACCAGCGGCTTGGCATACACCGGGTAACTCACCGAGGGCTGCCGAAGATCACGCTCCTGGTACACCGGGTTGTTACGGTTCACAGCAGCTGTATTGTTCTGCCCTTTTTTCACCTCTGCTACCCGGATCTTATAGGTCAATGACTGTGCAAACGGGTAGTTCACCATCCACGACAGCACCGGGTAATGCTCGTACAATTTTGCATCATCCTCCGGGTCTACCAGGTTGATCAGGAATACATCATCCACCTGGTGGTACACACATTCCTTATTGCCAAGGTCACCTGTCTGCTCACCGCCGGGACCGGGTACCGATACCTCCACGCAATACTCATACGTACCTGCCGGCAGCTTGCCATACTCCGTAAACAATTCTTTTAAGGCCTGCGAAGAATACGTCCATTGCGGATGCAGCTGGCTGCGGTCCAGCATATTCACACCGGGACGCAGCGTGTACGGAAAGCTATAACTAAACGATAGCCCGCCCGTGCGGAACACCACACGCCCTTTTACAACGGCATTCACCGTACTGCTCAGTCCTGATTGCAGCTGGTAGTTAAAGATCGTGGCCGGCGTCAGCTCCAGGCCGTCTACGCCTGCCAGGTTCACCAGCACCTGCCCCGGCTGCGCAGCAGCCGGCACGCCTATCGTTGTGGCCAACACCAGCAGCATTAGGCGTAAGCCTTTCAACATGTGGTCCGCTTTTTTAAATAAGGTGCTCATATCATTTTCAGGTTTTCAGTTTTAATTGGTTGTTCCTTTTTTACTTGTTCAGCTTCATCTTAAATTGCCACAGCATATCCACACTGCCGCCATACACCGGCTTCCAGACTTCTACACTGCTCAGCCGATACTGTGTATAACGGCCCGTCAATCGCGCTGTCAGTGGCAAACGCTTTAACCGGTAGGCAACACCTGCCTGCAGACCATATTTCGACAGGCCAAAGCCCGCCACACCGATATCACCACCACCCGTCAGGTTGGTCTTGCGCATCCAGCGTATAACTGCCCGATAGCATCCCGAACGTCGTGCGCATATGCGCCGGCGCTTCTGCTACCACACCGCCGTTTATCGACTGGTCCATATTGCCCGCACTGCCCATCAGCATCCAGGTCTTGGTGCTGTAGTTGATGTTTAGCTGTAAGAGGTTGCTGCCATAGCTGCTGGTATCCATCGTAGAAGTACTCTTGTTATAGATGGCCGAAAAACGCCAGGAGCGGCCACCCGTCTGCTTCCATTGATAGTTGGCACGACCTGTCCATACCGAGCCGGTTAGTGGTCGTTGCGGGATAGCCAGCGTATCATTATAACTGCGGAAGGTGGTATAAGGCTTATAAGACAAGGCTACCGAAGGATAACGTTTTGAATGCGTGCCGATCTCAAAACCCCAGCGGCTGTTATTGCCCGT